CACTTCTGTTTTTGTTCCAGATTTACAGCATCTGCATTTCTTTTGGTTTTTAAAATGTCAGAGAGCACATGCAGTTATAATGGGGCAAATGGCCTCCTGCAATTCTGATTATAAATAAACATTGTTGCTTGACCTCCTTGTGCATTTCCTGTTATTGGTTTTGCAATTATAATTTGAAGCAGAAGTGATTATATTTATATCTAAACTGCTGCCCCAATGGGCCTCAGGGACATTGCATTCATCCGGAAAAGTTACAGAAAAATTTAACAAATTTCTCCAATGGTTACACCGCCGCCAATCGGCCAAATCATGACATTACAGTGGACAGCGCCCTCCACTATCCAAGAGGAAGTAGAGCGCCACCACGAGTTAAGGAAGAGGTAACACGGTGTAGAGCTGAATGAACATTTTCTGAAGAAGGGTCTAGGCCCGAAACGTCAGCTTTCCTGCTCCTCTGATGCTGCTTGGCCTGCTGTGTTCATCCAGCTCTACACCTTGTTATCTCAGATTCTCCAGCATCTGCAGTTCCTACTATCTCTTAAGGAAGAGGTACTGCAGGCACACTGTATGCCACCAGTGTTCAGGAGGGGCGACTGCAGCCACGCACAGCGCCGTCCTGTGTCCAGGAGGAGTTACTGCCATCGCTCACTGCGCCACACAGTGTCCAGAAGCGGTACTGCAACAACGCAGTGCGCCCTCTCGCGGTTTGGTGAGAGAAGTGGGCGGTCCGGAAGTAGATGTTTGACCTCTGGAGGAGCTGAGTTTCCGGCGAAGCGGTACTGAAGCCGCAATGGCGTCGGTGTTTTCAAAGCTGAGGGCAGGCTGCTGCCAGTAATCCGCCTCCATCGGCCTGAGTATCGGCCAGAGCAGGCTTAAGGGTTTCTAACCTTATTGCAGAATGTCTTATAAACACGCTGATAGAGCCATTTGCTGAGAATCAAAGCGATATTACTGATAAAAACTTAGATACCAGATACAAGTTTTTTACGTTCGCTAATCCAATATTCTGGACTCCAACTGAACTCAAAACGAAATAAAATAAGTTTTTAATGTTTGGAAACGGCGTCTATCCTGTAAAAACTATCTTCAGGAGCCAAAACATTGCCAAGAAAATCCAAGCCCCAGTTCTTGTGCCTTAAAGTAAAGACCTGAAGTTGCTGTCAGTGGCAGCCCAGCAGAGTAAAGATTATGGAAGAAAAGGAACACTTGGGGTGAATGTTCAGACAGAGAATCAGGATCAGGGCCGCCTTCAGCACACTTTCACTTTAATTTTCTTGTTTTTTTTGTGGGATGCCGGGCTCGGAGAGAGCCGGGACTAAGGCGGATGGAAGCAGTGGCCTGGGCTCCCTGCAGCCCGGCCCCAGCAGCGGCAGAGAGCGGCGCAAAGCAGCGTCCAGGCACAAGCGACACCGAACCAAGCACAGCAGGGACTCGCCGGGGGCGGCCGCACAGACACCGCTCACCAAGGTGAAGTCTTTGGTCGAGTACGATGACATCAGCTCGGAGTCGGACACTTTCTCCGAGGTCACTGTCCGGTCCGAACGGAGAGAGAAAGAGGAACGGGTGAGCTCGGACAAAGCGGTCAAAGTTCACAAACATCACCATCACCACACGCACAAACGGGTTAAGGAGCACCATAAGATGAAGGAGGCTGAACGGGTTAAAGATCGAGCGAGAAGGCCAGAATCTGGCAAGTCCAGGAGTAGCAGAGAAAGGACTTCTTCCAAAAGGCAGGTGATGGAGGATGAAGACAGTGGGAAGAAAGAGCGAACGTCGCCTCTCTCAAAGCACAGCAGCAAGGAGTCAAAATCTGCTAAATCGTACAAAGAGAGAGGAAAGAAAGAGGAGCGGTCGACGCACAAGGAACGAACTAAGAGTCAAAAGAAAAATAAGGAGACACCACGAGGCTATCGAACGTCCCCCAGTCCAAAAAAGAAAAGTGGGAGCCCAAGACGCAAGCATTCTTCAAGTCCAAATCGGGAAGACAGCCCCATTGGGCCATATGGCAAAGGATATGATGCCAGTCCTGTTTATAGGTCACGGACTTCTAGCAATTATGATGGTTACCGGCGAAGTCCTGGTGATTCCAGCCGGAAACAATCGGCAAGCCCCCCCTATTATGGTTCCAGGGAGCCCACAGCCTACCAAAGTGGTTATAACATGAGATCACCAAGTCCTTACGGCAGGAGACAACGGTCTTCAAGTCCCTACAGCAGGCATCGATCCCCCAGCTATGACAGACACAGCAGCTCATATGACTACAGTGGGAGATCGCCAAGTCCATACAGCAGGAGGCGCTCAGTAAGCCCGTACAGCACCAGGCGGTCATTCAGTCAGAGCCCATTGGCCAGGTACAGTTTAAACTTTACTTATTTCTTAAGGTGGAAGGCAGTACTGTGGGCTCATGTTAGTGTATTGCTGTGTGAAATGTTTTATCTGTTTATAGTGTGAGAGGGTTGGGAGTTGGAGAAGGGGTATTTGACAACTTTAAACCATCTTAGCCAATAGGTCACAACCAGGGAATGAGACAGCACAGCACTTCCTGAATGGCAGCTTTTAGGCCTAGTTTTGAGTCTTGCTTCAGACTTGCTACTTGGACCCTATTCTTGGAGGCAGCAGTTTCTGTTCACTCTAATAATACAGGGGCAACTTGAGGTGGTGGGAAGTTGATAGTGAATTAAGGATTTATTTTGGGGAATGTGTTGAATGATTTAGTTTTGTTCAGACAATTTGAGCGGCTCTCACATCAGGTTCATAATGACCCTCTGCTCCTCGGACTGTTCCAAATCTGGCAGCAGGAGGATATGGTAAATGCCTGAATAACGGTTGGCTGTAAGGCTGAGGCCTGGAGTTTACAGAAGGAGCTATTCCTAGAAATGTTCCAAATTGAAGATCAAAGTTGGAATGTAAGGGGCCCTTGTGAAAACACTGTGGTGAAGGCTTACTTGATAAGGTCCTTCTGCAGCCCACTGCTAATGATCAGCTGTGTGAATGCCAGGAATCGAGCCAGGGTATGGGCACACTTCAGCTATTGTCATCTCCACGTTTCCAGGGGCTGGGCCTAAATATTCATGAGGGGCAGTGGCAGGATTCCATACATGATGGGGAGTTCCGCACAGATTGTGTACACAAGGAGGGCCCTGTACATCATGAGGGTCCCACACGTGAGGGGTCACTACTCAACTGAGCAATGATGTTAAGCTGTAACTTAGCCAGTTCTGCCTTTTCTCTTAATTGCTTCAGTTCTTGTGGATGCTACAAAGGACACCTCACTCCCCAGATACTCATTTAGTCACCTGACACCTGTATTTACAAGCACTTTCTGTAATGTCACAAACCTGTGTACAAATAACAAGTGTTGAGGCTGTCGGTATGAACCAATTTACCTGGAAGTGAATACAGGCTTTAGCAAAGAACAGAATGAGGGTAAATGCTGCTGGAGGTAAAAATCTTGGTTATAAACATTGAAATGAAGACATTGGTGAACAATCCCGCATACAGCAGCTGGTCCTGTCTGAAAGTATGTTTTCCCTTATGCACAGTACATGCTCAGTGTGGAATCTTATGCTTTCCTGACCCGATCCTGCCCTGAATTTCAGACTCATTAATTTAAATGTTGCAACGAATATTGCATTCTTAACATATGCACACCCAGATTCAGATGTCTGGAGACCATGACAACAAAATCCCCACCCAGTTTTCCTCATGTCATCCACCCACATTCCCACACCATCCCTTTAACTCTCTTCCCACCCCCCTCACTAACCTGTCCCTGTCTCCTCACCACTGTTTTCCCTGGACTTTACATTTCCTCCACAGTGTCTCCCCCTGCCCTATCAACCTTTCTTTGTTGACATGTCAGTTATGGAGTCATAGTACTGTACAGCACCGAAACAGACCCTTCGGTCCAACTCATCTGTGCTGGCCAGAGATCCTAAATAAATCTAGTCCCATTTGCCAGCATT